ATATGATATTTTAGATAATAACACCGATTTACCAAACAAGGAAATGAAGAATTGTCGGATGATGAGTTGCCAGCGGCACCCACTTCGAGAAAACCCGTGAAGACTACTAGATATGGGCTCGAAGTTAAGAAGGTCGACAGATATGGCTATTGAGTCTTCTTTACCAAGATCAAGACTCATGGTGGGAGAATGTTAAAACTGAATCACATTTTTATTTTGTAACATTCAGTATGTATTTTGTTAACTAGATTGTTTTGATTTGTCAATCTATATATATAAAATTGTTTGTCCTGACTGACTGACTGACCTATCAACCTACAGCCAAAACTACTGAGCCTAGAAAGCTGAAATTTGGAACATAGGTTTATTTTATAACGTAAGCATCCGCTAAGAAAGGATTTTTAAAACTTTTAACTTTAATGGGGGAAATGGGGGAGTGAGCTTTTAATAAAACTCTTTGTTCTTTAAAGTTAGAAACATGAAAATTTAAATTACAGCTACAGAGCATGAATAAATATTGACATGTTTCAGGGTTTTTGGATTTTTTACATTTTAAGGGGGAAAACGGGGGGTGAAATTTTGTAAGAGACTATCGATTTTTTTGTTCTCTATGAAGTTAGAAACATGAAAATTGGAATTGCAGCTACTAACTACAAATTATTAATGACGTGTTTCAGGGTTTTTGGATTTTCACATTTTAAGGGGGGAAATGGGGGGTGAAAATTTATTTGGGAGTATACATGTTTCTGGTTCTCTTTAAACATGAAAATTGGAATTGCAGCTACTGAGTACAAATTAATAATAATGTGTTTTAGGGTTTTTATATTTTTACATCTTAAGGGGGTAAACGGGTGTAAAAGTTTGTATGGGAGTATAACTTTTTTTGTTCTCTTTGAAGTTAGAAACATAAAAATATGAAATTGCAGCTAATGAGTACAAATTAATAATGACGTGTTTTAGGGTTTTTGAATTTTCACATTTTAAGGGGGGGAAACGGGGGGCCGAAAGTTTCTTCGGAAATATCGACTTTTTTAAAGGTAGGTATTTAAAAATTGTAATTGTAGGTTCTCATCATAAATAAATAATGAAGTGTTTCATGGTTTTTGGATTTTCACATTTTAGGGGGGGAAACGGGGGTGAAAATTATTAAAAATTAATAAAAATTAATAAAAATTAATAGAAATTAATAAAAATTAATAGAAATTAATAAAAATTAATAAAAATTAATAAAAATTAATAAAAATTAATAAAAATTAATAAAAATTAATAAAAAATAATAAAAATTAATAAAAATTAATAAAAATTAATAAAAATTAATAAAAATTAATAAAAATTAATAAAAATTAATAAAAATTAATAAAAATTAATAAAAATTAATAAAAATTAATAAAAATTAATAAAAATTAATAAAAATTAATAGAAATTAATAAAAATTAATAAAAATTATTAAAAATTAATAAAAATTAATAAAAATTAATAAAAATTATTAAAAATTAATAAAAATTAATAAAAATTAATAAAAATTAATAAAAAATAAAAAAAATTAATAAAAATTAATAAAAATTAATAAAAATTAATAAAAATTAATAAAAATTAATAAAAATTAATAAAAATTAATATAAATAAATTAATAAAAATTAATAAAAATTAATAAAAATTAATAAAAATTATTAAAAATTAATAAAAATTATTAAAAATTAATAAAAATTATTAAAAATTAATAAAAATTATTAAAAATTATTAAAAATTAATAAAAATTAATAAAAATTAATAAAAATAATTAAAAATTAATAAAAAATAAAAAAAAATTAATAAAAATTAATAAAAATTAATAAAAATAAATAAAATTTAATAAAAATTAATAAAAATTAATAAAAATTAATAAAAATTAATAAAAATTAATATAAATAAATTAATAAAAATTAATAAAAATTAATATAAATAAATTAATAAAAATTAATAGAAATTAATAAAAATTATTAAAAATTAATAAAAATTATTAAAAATTAATAAAAATTATTAAAAATTAATAAAAATTAATAAAAATTAATAAAAATTAATAAAAATTAATAAAAATTAATAAAAATTAATAAAAATTAATAAAAAATAAAAAAAATTAATAAAAATTAATAAAAATTAATAAAAATTAATAAAAATTAATAAAAATTAATAAAAATTAATAAAAATTAATAAAAATTAATAAAAATTAATAAAAATTAATAAAAATTAATAAAAATTAATAAAAATTAATAAAAATTAATAAAAATTAATAAAAATTAATAAAAATTAATAAAAATTAATAAAAATAAATAAAATTTAATAAAAATTAATAAAAATTAATATAAATAAATTAATATAAATTAATAAAAATTAATAGAAATTAATAAAAATTAATAAAAATTATTAAAAATTAATAAAAATTATTAAAAATTAATAAAAATTATTAAAAATTAATAAAAATTATTAAAAATTAATAAAAATTATTAAAAATTAATAAAAATTAATAAAAATTAATAAAAATTAATAAAAATTAATAAAAAATAAAAAAAATTAATAAAAATTAATAAAAATTAATAAAAATTAATAAAAATTAATAAAAATTAATAAAAATTAATAAAAATTAATAAAAATTAATAAAAATTATTAAAAATTAATAAAAATTAATAAAAATTAATAAAAAGTAATAAAAATTAATAAAAATTAATAAAAAGTAATAAAAATTAATAAAAATTAATAAAAATGAATAAACATGAATAAAAATGAATTAAAATGAATAAAATTAATAAAAATAAAAAAAAAATAAATATAAAAAAATGAATGAAAATCAATAAAACTTATAAAAATTCAAAAACCAAAAAAGGTTGACAGCTGTGTGCACGTAGTTTAGATTCAAAAAGGAAAAACTTGTATTTCGTGCAAAACTTTTTTATTAATCAATGCAAAGCGCTTTCGGCTTATTTGCCATCATCAGTGCTCATCTACAAAAATTGTGGATGTAAACTTACAATTTAAAAAGATTTAAAAAAAATTATAAAATCTGAATTAGACTTTTAAGTCAAAAGTTAAAATAGTATATATACAATTGTTTGAACGAATTAAAAATTACAAGAAACAGACAAAGTGACAAAAAACCTGGTATTGGGAATAGTGAGTGTGGGATAAGCCCTTACAAATCAAATCTGATCTCCAAAAGCAAGTTAGCTTGTGTGGAATTAAGGAATCATGCCACCCTCACTATTCACAAAATTGAAAAAAGGTTAACAAATTAGTTAAAGTTTAAAGAAATTTACAATTAGAGGGTGACTGTGGAATATATATTGAAATTTGAATCTATAATGCAATATTTGATATGAAGAAAGTAAAACGCAGAAGGCCAAAGTAAAAAAACTGAAGGTTTTTTTATATATGTTTTATATACATTATAATTATGAAAAAGTCTACCTACTGTCCACAACGTATCCAACAAGTTCCTGGTCATCCTCACTCCCAAAATTATATATTTCGGGATGTTTACAACTTGCTAAATCATAATTTTATTAATATTAATATTTTCAAATTTAAATTTATCTCTTCATTTTGGTTCAAGTTGTTTAACCGTTTCCACATGACAGTGGTGACAAGCGACACTTGAAGACTTTGACTTGTCAAATGTCAACAGAAGGAGCCACACTGAGGTGAACGCACCTCCCGAAATATATAATTTTGGGAGTGAGGATGACCAGGAACTTGTTGGATACGTTGTGGACAGTAGGTAGACTTTTTCATAATTATAATGTATATAAAACATATATAAAAAAAAACCTTCAGTTTTTTTACTTTGGCCTTCTGCGTTTTACTTTCTTCATATCAAATATTGCATTATAGATTCAAATTTCAATATATATTCCACAGTCACCCTCTAATTGTAAATTTCTTTAAATTTTAACTAATTTGTTAACCTTTTTTCAATTTTGTGAATAGTGAGGGTGGCATGATTCCTTAATTCCACACAAGCTAACTTGCTTTTGGAGATCAGATTTGATTTGTAAGGGCTTATCCCACACTCACTATTCCCAATACCAGGTTTTTTGTCACTTTGTCTGTTTCTTGTAATTTTTAATTCGTTCAAACAATTGTATATATACTATTTTAACTTTTGACTTAAAAGTCTAATTCAGATTTTATAATTTTTTTAAATCTTTTTAAATTGTAAGTTTACATCCACAATTTTTGTAGATGAGCACTGATGATGGCAAATAAGCCGAAAGCGCTTTGCATTGATTAATAAAAAAGTTTTGCACGAAATACAAGTTTTTCCTTTTTGAATTATAAAAATTAATAAAAAAGGAAGTCATGAATTTTTTTATATTAATAACACGACTATATGCGAGCAAAGCCGCGGGCAATAGCTAGTATGATATAAGTTTTAGAAGTATCTTTTCAATAAAAAAAGTCAAATCGATTTTTTAATAACTGGTTTTTTATAAGTTTTACTGTTTCTGGTTCTATTCCATATTTGGATCATTTTTGAAAATATATTTGGACGGTTAGTTCATTTTGTGTTTTACACATATTTTTTTTTATATCTAAGCACATTTAAATAAAAAAATTATATATGAGACAAGAATGAAAAGTATTTTTTTAGAATTAGAATAAAAGCCTTTCATTCAAAACCAAATTGCATGAATGTCAGGTTACCATTGCATTTACTTCACCAGTGAAGAAACCAACAAGATTAATTCACATACTTATAGTTAAACAATTTTCTTCTGTATTACAATTTAAAAAATCATTTAGAATGGTTCAAACATTTTCACACGGCTTTATATAATTCTCTTGTTTTATGTAATTATGTATGTCTCTTTGGAATAAATAAGTGGAAGTTTAATAAAATTCCACAAAGCTATATAGTTTCATACTCATAGCCAAAATATTTTTCAATGACAAAACAGAAATAAAAGTAAAAGTATACTTAAAACTTATAAAGCAAGGATATATTTAAAAATTAAAATAGGACTTACTTGTGAGTTATTTTAAGTTGTGCAATTTTATGGGTCCCATCGCATATTGGTTGTTTTTTACTCCTTCCACACAGACACCAAGAGTATTTTTTACCTGCAAAAATCAATATATTACAGTTAAAATATCACTAAATAATAATAATATATGTAGCAATAATTATTGAAAGTTATTTTTAAGCCTTACTCTTTTCCAGATTTAGAGCCATTTGCAAGAACATTCTTTAAAATTTATTAGCTTTGACAGATATTTAGTCTGGTCTGTGAGCTTCTTCTCTGCAGTTCATGACATTTATTTATTTATAATACAATACTCTACAGGTCATAAACCCAATTACAGAGCAGGAATTGACAGAATATAATTATTAATAAATCACCGATTTTTTTATATGAATGATAAGCGCATAAAAAAAAACGACTTGTATTTCATAATAGGTAACAAATTAACTAAGATAAAAAGTGGGATTTTATATCTGAAAAATAGCAACTAAATATATTGACAATAGAATTTGTCAGTGTACACATTGTATGGAGCGGAGAATTTTCCAGAACATTTGTGCGAGATGTATTTATATAAAAAGTATTTGGGTGTCTGGAAGAAATTCTGGGAATGCAAATATTAAACTTTCCTAATAAGGTTGGGCAGTCAATAATACTTGTAATAATTTTATAAGTTACTACTACACTATAATAATCACGCCTTCTTTCGAGACTAAACAAGTTATGCTTTTGTAGTAATTCAGAGTGAGGTGTACCTATTAGAGGATAACTGCCATCAGTTTTCAGGCTTAGCAGTTTTAAAAATCGTCTGTGAATTGCTTCTATTCGATCTATATGATACTGAAGCATATTCTAACTTTGATCTTATAAAATCACTACTGCTTCGTGCAATTAATCCATACATGCGATAGGAGGAGGATACATTATCAATGTGCTTATTTAATGATAGTGCAGTGTCAAACGTGACGCCAAGATCAGTAAATGTTTTCGGTCTCTCAAGGGCAACGTTTTCTATTGAATAATTAAAGAATAGGATATTCGTTTTTAAATTGTAGGACATAACTTTACATTTATCCGGGTTTAGTGATAAGTTATTTTGATAACACCATTCAACAACCCGTGTTAAGTTTGCTGAGAGGTTCTCGCAATCGCCTATCTTCTCCACGAGGCAGTATAGTTTTAGATGATCAGCATACAAAAGGAAATTTACATTTATAATATCTGCAATATCATTAATGAATATAATAAAAAGGAGGGGTTCCAGATTCGACCCTTGTGGAACACTGGAAGCACTATATTCAGCAGACCTAAAACCATTGAGCTGGACATATTGCTTTAGATCCCATAGATAGGATTGAAACAGTGAAATTAAAGAAGAAGATAATCCAAAAGCTACAAGTTTGTTGAGCAGAATGCCATGATCAAGTATGTCGAAGGCCTGTGTAAATAACATCAGTTTGGGCTCTGTTGTCAATAGATTCAGCAATATATTGGATAAAGGTCAGAAGGTTGGTGAATGTTGAACGACTTTTCACGAAACTATGTTGATTTATACTTATATTACAACTTACATGACGACATATAACTCGCTCTAGCAGGATTTCAAAAACCTTTGCAAAGTTGCATATAATAGAGATAATTTGAAATATCTCGTCTATCTCCTTTCTTGAAAATGGGACAATCCCTGGTATTGTAGCCCATTTTAAACAAATATTAATTAGTATGGAGAGAGGACGAGCAAGCACAGAAGAACAATCTTTTAGGACAAAAGCTGGAATATCGTCTGATCCGGTGGTCTTTATTGGCTTAAGTGATCTTAGTGCCTCATATACTTCCTTTTCACTGAAGCTTGTAATATTTAAAAAGTGATTATTATTTGTGCCATAATTTAGGCAGTTCATATTCTATAGCTATGTCAAAGATTATTAGGCTCATAATTTTACCAACCACTGCCAATACCCACTAAATAACAATATTATATGTCATCTGCAGCAATTATTCAAAGTTATTCTCAAGCCTTATTATTTGTTAGATTCACAGATGATTGCAAGAACATTCATTAAAATTTGACTCATACATTTTGACAAACTGACTGTGAGTAATTTGAAGTTCATGCCATAGATCTAGACTTGGGTAGTTCACGAACAAACTAGTTCAAAGAAGCATATCTCTTTAATGAACTAACTGAACTAGTTCAGAACGACTCGATCACATAGCTCATTAGTTCAGTTGAACCGAAAGAACGAAAACCTTATAGATACACAGTTTCTTATGAATTGTATGATCTTCTTTCATTTTGATTATTACCACCTATGGGCCTTGCGAGAAAGTTTTCTCTAATGCTGGGCAGATTTTTAGCGAAAGAATAACTCTGTTAAAATCAGAAAGAGTATCTAGTTTCCTTGTAACAATATGTAAATTGTAATGTAAATAATCCAGGGACTGCCAATTTCATTATTTTTTTTTTGTTTATTTTTCAAAACTATAAAATACATAAATAACATTTCAACAATTGTTGATAGCAATGCATCTACCCAAAACAAACAAAAAACTAGTAAATGATCCTAATATATCTTTTAGAAATGATATAATTTATATGAATGTACAGAGTTTTTTGACACACCGCGATGAAGTTTTAGTAGAAATTTTTTGCTATCAACCATCTATAGTTATATTAAGTGAAGCAAGATGTACAGATGATATCCAAGTTGTTGAAATTGCAGTAGATGGATATGTATGTGTAAGCAGGGCCGACGAGAGCCGAGCCAGGCCGGGCCCCAGGACAATTCTCTAGATCGGGCAGTGTGACAAAAAAAAGCTCTTCAAACAAAAACTTTTCCTTTTCTACTTGAATTGAATTTTCTAAAAAGAAGCAAAAACTTTTCCTCCTCTGCTTCAATTGCTTTTTCTAAAAAAAAAAGGTCCTCAAGCAAAAACTTTTCATCCCCTGCTTCAATTGCTTTTTCTAAAAAAAAAAAGAACCGCTTCCCAACCAAAAACTTCCCTCTCTCGTCTTGTGTCGAGTTTCTTATACAAAACAAAAAAAACCAGTTGCCGGGCCCCCCTTATACCGCTGACGGGCCCCCATTTGAGTCCGGGCCCCGGGAATTAGTCCCGGCTACCCCCCCTCTCTAGTCAGCCCTGTGTGTAAGATGTAATTCTTCAAATCGACACAAGGGAGGAGTACTTATTTATCTGCGGAACAACATTACTTTTAGAGTGAAAAAGGAAGATATTCTTGTGCCAAATTATTGGTGTAAAATTGTTAACGTTAATTTTAATAAAACTAAATGGTTGATTGGTGGTTTTTACCATTCGCCCAGTTCCAGTGATGCGGCTTTATCGATAAAATTGAAGAATGGTGCAAAGATTTCTTATCGGGAAACATTATAGTTTTTATTGTGGGTGATGTTAATATTGATTATTTTGTAGATAGTTTTTATAGCAAAAAGATAAAAAGTTTAACTCAGTCTTATGGCATTGAACAACATGTAAATGATTATACCAAAGAATACCTACCCAAGAAGCGAAACTAAATGGGCGATTTGTGGACAAAAAACTGCCAAGTTTTCTCAGTGTTTTAGAGGTGGTTTAACGTCAAATATGGCTGTCAATTTATGTAGAGCAACGTTTGGTATATTATTATTAGCGTTTTGTGAAAATTGCAGTATAGTTAAGTAGTTGTATTTAACTAAGTAGTAATTATAAATTAGATAGTTTTAAAATTTAAATTACAAGAAAAAAAATACATTGCGTTATTCGTAAATTTCTGGCATCTAGCTGTCAATGTTTTGTTTTAATTTCTAAATCAGTATTACCTATAATGATAATTTACGCCTACGTATTATGCATCGTTTAATTTCTTACTCTTTTATTTAAATATATTATTTTTTTGTTTTTCAAACCATTCAAATTAAAACAGTTAATAAATACAAAACAATGATTAAAAGATATGACAAACTCACTTCGAGAAACCAAGTCGCTGCTATCAGGATGCAATCGAAATGCATTTACAGCTACCTACAGTACTTCTGGATATGTAACGTGTAAAGGGTGGGTTACCCAACGGCACTAAGGCCTCACTATGCCCATTGTGTATCCTCAGAAAATGATAGGCACCTCCTAGCTCATGAGCCAGCCTACACATTTAATGAAGTTGACAACGTCGCCAAGAGGTGCTTCTCTTATATCAGCCGGTGTTAGCCAATACTCGCCGAAAATAAATGAGAGCGACTGACAATCGTAGAGGATATGTTCAATGGTTTCATCTTTTTGTTTGCACCCCGTGCAGGGTGCGAATTCTGACAGTCCCATGATATGGAGATGCTTCCGTACTTGGCAATGACTAGTCAGAATGCCTTTGATAAGACGCAGATTCTGTCTAATCATAGTCAAGTATTTGTTTGTTGTAATGTTGTCAGGATAACTTAAAATCTCCTTGGTAACTCAGCAGATTCTTGTTTCATCCCATCTTTCCTTCAATTTCACAAGAGAATATTCTTTATTTGGGTCTGTCACTACCGATGTTGTCAGTCCAATAGAAGGGCCAGGTCCAAAAAGTATTTGGTTGGCCGCCATCTTGGCAAGTGAATCAGCAATAAGGCTACCTTTCATTGTGGCGTCACCTTTGCTCCATATTGTATGGTTACCCTTGCCAAAGCTTCGTGACATTCTAGTACTAACCCTGAGTAAATTCGTAATCTGTTCAGGGTAAGTAGTGCTTTTCTGCTATCTGTATGGATGAGTATGTTCCTACCAGCGATTTCTTTTGCTGCTATGAAAACCTCCGTTAGCTCCGTGAACTACATTGGCACTATTGCGAAGTTTATATTGAGATTTAAGGAATTGGAATATATTTCACACCCTGGGCATTGTTTTGTTTTAGAACGGTCTGTGTAGATGTATCGTACCTGCCACTTCCGGCTCTTCTATTTGTTTTTTTATAACTTCATATGGCTTATGGAAGATATAACTCGGTGAGATAAGGTTCATGTTCGTTTGAAGCAGTTGGAGCGTATCGAGCGCCTTTTGCCAAAAACGACTCCTCACTCGCCCCACCAGATCGTACGTCAGATTCTATTCCAACGGTGCAGAGGC